TTCATGGAAGAGATGAGGACTCTAGGAGAGGAGGGTCAGCCAGCTGTTCTCTTACCTGATCTGTTGTGGCTGGCGGTGGCAAAGCTGTAGAGAGTGAAAGGATCCGCAGGGAGGCCTCCAGCTGCTGAGGAGGCAAAAAGAAGTTGGGCACCACAATGGGTTCCGGGCTATAATGGTAGTTAAGGGGCACAGATACATTGAAATCTGCCCCCCTTGCCAGACTGGCATCTCCACTGGCCTTAGTCATCCCTACTTGTCCAACTTATTCTTGTACAGTAGTGCCTTCTGTCTGGAAGGCCCTGCCCACCCCTAACAAGTCGCAGTCTATACTTTCTGCAAGGGTCAGTTAAAATCCTTCCTCTCTGAATGTTAGACCTCAGTGATCCCTCCTTCCCCTCATTATTTCCCTAGAGCCCTGCATGAGGCTGGTACGCAGCAACATTTAAATGATACTTGCTGAGGTCCTGCTGACCCACAACTGACCCGTTAGAAGCCAGTCAGACAGGGTTGGGTTGGAAGGTGGCCCCAAGGACAGTGTCTTAGGCTGGAGGGAGATGCCTGACACTGAAGGAGGCTGGTCCTCCCAGTTGTCCTCTGCCAACATCCAGGAATGAGGGCTCTACATGAGGGGCTGTCTGTGGATATAGCTGGTTCACCCAGTCTGCATCTGAGCCCTAGAAGTCAAGTACCACATCTTATACTTTTCCTGGTACTAGATGTACCCAGTACTGTGCTGAGAACATGGTGTTTCCAAAAATATTTGTTCAATCAAAGCACTGATTCAGTTTGGGAGGGGACTACTTAGATGTTCCAATTTTTTGTTTCTGTTCAATAAGCTAAATATGGTTCTGGTTCAAACTGTTTTATCATGGTTCTTCCATGCTAGAATTTAAGCTCCAAGAGGGCAGAGATTATTCATCTCTTTTTCAGTCATGTTCCTGTCACCTAGCACAGTACCTGGGACATAGTAAGTTTTTAATAAGTATCTACTGAATGAAGTGTATCCTCAAGGCTCCATTTTGTGTGGGTGGTTCTCCTTTTCCATGCTCTGCCTGCTCCCCTTATCTATTTCCGGAGACACCTACCTTTATAGCTGGCCGCCTCTTGGATGTCTTGTAGGCATATGTCCAAAATGGAAATCTGTACCTTCCTCCAAAACTATCTGTCTTTATGTGCTAGTCCCTATCCAGTCAATGACATCACTTACTTAGCAACTTGTAACAGAACTCTCTAAGTCTACTTTGTATTTGTTTTTCTCTTCCTTGCGCCTAATTCTCTCCCATCTATGATGTAGATTAGATTAGCCAGGCATAAAAGGCTCTTTAAGATGTAGCCCTGCCTCACCGCTCACCATCTCATGTACCCCTGGACTCTAAGCAGAGTGAACTGCTCCCCACAGGTCAGGCTCTTTCACCTGGCTATGCCTCTGCATACACAGTTCACTATAACTAGAATTTTCTCGTTTGTTTCCAGGATGTCTATTCATCTTTGAGGTCCAGCTCCACTGTCTCTCTTCCTGGGATACATCCAGTGTTGTGGTAGCTTCCTCCTCTTGCTCCCTAGCATTTTGTCCAGGTTTCATCACAACACCTAGAACAATAAATTCTATCACTGCCTGCCTCCTGCCTCATGATAGGAACTTCTTAAGGTAAAGTCTACTTCAAATCTGTCTTCAGGGGAGCACCAAGCCTGGCAATACCCATTTTTTGAAAGGATGAATACTTGGGAAGGTCTGAATTAGAGCACTACCCTTAGGACCTGGTCACATGTGACTGCTCCAGCACAAACCATGTATTCTGAGCACAACTAAATTGACTGTAAAGGCAGCATTGTCAGAACCCAGGCTGAGTGAGGCTAGGAAGGAACTCCACTGGAGGTGGTCTGCTTTCAGTGCTCACCCTCCAGCCATTTCATAGTTTCAGCCTTTCTGAATCCCTACCCCTCTACCTTTTAGTTTCTCTCTGCTCTGCAATAAGAATCACATCATACAGTATGTACAAATGTTTCACACTCATTTGATTTTCTCAGGAATCTTGTGAAATTAGGATAGTTCAATTCAATCTACATTTACTGATCCCTTCTCTGTGTAATGTCTGGTGCTGGGGACACAGAAAAAGACAAGGTCCCTGACCTACCTAGAGAGTGTACAGTCTGGTGGGTAAGGGATTACTGCCCCCATCTTATAGGTGAAGAAACTAAGGCTCAGAAAGGTTAAATTGTATGCCTGAAGTCACACAAATAATAAGAAAATGGGTCTAGAAGGGTCAAAAACAGGCCCCCTGGCTTCGGGTAGAGAAAGATCTCTTCAGTAAAGCAGCCTCCTTCACTGTAGCTGTGCAGTAACCCTTGCTTGCCGTTGGGATGCCAGGTGAACTGATCTGCTCAGAGGGGTAGGCAACAGATATGAGGGCTGTCGATGGGTCTAGGTAGTTTTTCCCATTACAGGGCCATCTGTGTTTCAAAGGAAGAAGAGGGGGAATGGCAGGTGACCCTTCTCTCCATTGACACTATCCTTCTGGGCGGTAGGGGGAGTCGGGCAAGTCCATTTCAACTGTGCCCACTTCCTCTCTCCTTGTCTTACTCCTTGTTATTACTTGCCTTTTTCTGAAAAAGTGAAGTACTAGGCAAGTCACTATAACTTTGGGCCTCAGTTTCCCTAAATGCAAAATAGAAATGATGATACCTTCAGGACTTACAATGATGGAATGAAAAGGTATGTAAAGTGCCTGGCACATAGTAAATAATCACTGCTAGTACTCTCCCTTTCCCTCTCTCTGCACCCTCCATTTCTATTTCAACTGAGATTAATGGTCTCATTCCTTACATCCAGAGCCCTGCCTTCAAGTATAAAATACCTAATAGATTAATTCAATAAATCAGGCCGGGCCAGGCCAATGAATGTGCTACTAACACTTAAACCTAATTCAAAACATTATGCTTCAGAGGGCAGGGGTTAACAGTAGCATCATAGCACCTTATTAGGACCGGCAAGTCTTGTGAAGGAAGGAGCTTCCTATATCTCCCAGTGCATTCCATGAGGGAGGCCACTGCTCATGCTCACACTCACGCACACACTAGGTTGGCCTAAGTGCTAGCATCCAAAATGCTAGAAATGGCGTAAGGGGCTACTTGTGGGAAATACCAAAGGATACAGGAGACTCTGCCTTGTGGACACCTCTGATCCAGATGTTGCCTGCTTCTGATGGATGTCAGGGCAGTTGATGGGTAGGCCCTGATGGCTTTCCTTTCTGCTCTGGGAGGCTAGGCTGAGAGGGAATTTCTCAAAGCTATCAGCAGAGTCACTTAGCTCCATGGAGGCAGCTTCATTCTCAGTCTGGGCTTCTGGCTTGGGCTCCTGGTCCTGATCTGCTTTGGGTGAGCTCAGTCCCATGGAGGTTTTGCTCTGTTGGGCTCCTGAGAGTGTTACTTGTGAGATGAGCTGCGGGTCTGTTAAGGCAGGCTCTGCATCCCTTGCCTGAGAGGCTTCACCCTCACAAGCAACAAGACTTTGCCTAGGAGAACCCTGCCTAAGCAGGTGGGGGTTGACAGCTCTTCCTGGGCTGGACAGAGGGCTGCTTTTACCCTTGAGCTCCTCTCTGGGGAAAGGCTTTGAAGGACAAGAGGGGCCTTCCCTATGCACCTCATCAGGCTGAAGGCTGATGATCTCACTTGTGTCTGACATGAAACTGGACCAAGGGCTAGTTTTGTCTGTCACAGTGGTGATGTCATTAAGGGTCCTGGGCTCAATGATGTCTTCTTCATAGTCCTCATCGCTGTAGACTGGGTCTGCCTCAGTTTCCTCACTGCTCTGCATCCTTGTATCGGGTACTGTGTGCCCCAGGGACTCATGGAGCAGTCCTCTTCTGCTTGAAGTCTCTTCAAGAGTAGGGGGAGTTAGGCAGTTTCTGCCCTCATCCATCACTTGTGCCAATGACATACTGGGAGCTGTTCTTCGTTCCTGCATGGCCCCTGTGTCCTGAGCATCTGGTAGGGTGGGGACTTCTCCGCTTCTACTCCTGGCTTGGTGAGAACTCAGAGATGCTTGAGAATTCCTGGTGATGGTCTGTAGATCTGAACAGCAACAGATATCACTCTTACTACAAGGTAGGGCCACAGACCACTCAACTTTCCCAAGCTAGGCTCTAGCTTCAGATGTATTCTTGCAATCAGACTTTGAAAAATCTTAAAGATCGTTAATCCACCCAAGTCAGTGAAACTATATTCAAGGCAGTACAATTTCTAGCACTTTATTCTAACATCAGAGGACCAAAATCTAATCTGTTTATAGTTGTGGTCACATCTGTGGAAATGCTTTCAGAGACTATCTGCTCATGCTCAGGAATTCTTGGGAGCTAGGAGTCCTGGTAGGCATGTTCATGCTTCCATTTACTTCAGTAATTACCTATATTAAAAACCAAATGAGAATCTACTTATTTACCTATTTGATGACAGTTATTAAAACTATATATTTTACTTGGAAAATAAAAGCAATTAATCTATCACCCAATTGGTAAAGTAGGGGAGGTTTATTACACAGAAAATGGAGGGAGGATGGCATTATGGAAAGAGCAGAAGTTTTTGGAGCTAGTCAGTCTTGGGTTCAAATCTCTACTGTCACTTATTGTGGTCATGAGCAAACTATCCTCTCTCAACCTGTTTATCTTTAAAATGTTATTAACACCATCCTTTGCACAGGGTTATAGTAAAGAATACATCACATAAATGAGCACACACTTTGTGGCACATATATAAACAACAAATGGAAACTACCAGTCATTTCAAATTGTTTTTGTGATTAAATGGGAGGGAATAAGTTAATAAATAGAACTACTAAATGGTTTGTTTACATTATTATTTAAGAAGAGAATGTTAGGAATTGGGAGGCAGATTTGACTCTCGGGGTGTGGGGTCACATCTCCCTCATAGCACCTGATGGGAGTGCTCAGCCTATAGGAGGTGCTGGCTAAATTTAATACATTATCAATTTTCATGTCTTAAAGGGAGTGAGTAGATGTATGAAAATGGAACATCTCTACCTGCAAACAGGAGCAGGAACCAGGAAGGTTAGTCAATCCTGATCCCTTGGCCTGCACTATCCTTTCTGTCTTGGAGGTGTCTTTCTGCTTTTTACATACCAGTCCATCCTTCAAGGCCCTGCTCTACTGCATCTCCTCTGGGAAGCCTTCCTAGGTGCACCAGCTGGATGGGATGGCTATACAGCTTTGTTCTATACGGAAGCATTTAAGATGCTATTGTGTATGTTTCCCCATCAGATTGTGAGCTTCTTTTTTTTTTTTTTTAAATTTTTTTTCAACGTTTATTTATTTTTGGGACAGAGAGAGACAGAGCATGAACGGGGGAGGGGCAGAGAGAGAGGGAGACACAGAATCGGAAACAGGCTCCAGGCTCTGAGCCATCAGCCCAGAGCCCGACACGGGGCTCGAACTCACGGACCGCAAGATCATGACCTGGCTGAAGTCGGACGCTTAACCGACTGTGCCACCCAGGCGCCCCAGATTGTGAGCTTCTTAAAGGCAAAGACCACATATCTGATTCATGTTGCATTTTTAGAGTCCAGCAAAGGACCTGGCACACAGATGTGGCATAAGTGAGACCCCCTCCTCCCCATCAGTAACTCACTCTCAAGATTCACTGGTACCTACTTGTGTAATGACTTCTTCCAAAGTGTACTAAGACACGATGGAGGCTGGGGAAGTTTATTTTTTTAAATTGTTTTCTTCGAGGGGTGCCTGGGTTGGCTGAGTCAGTTGAGCGTCCGATTTCAGCTCAGGACATGATCTCGCAGTTCACAAGTTCAAGCCCTGCATTGGGCTCTGTGCTGACAGCTCAGAGCCTGAAGCCTGCTTTGGATTCTGTGTCTCCCTCTCTCTCTCTGCCCCTCCCCCACTCATGCGCGCGCGCGCGCGCGCTCTCTCTCTCTCTCTCTCACAAATAAATTTTAAAAAACATAAAAAAATTTTTTTTAAATTGTTTTCTTCGATCTTGTCCTCTCTCCCTTTCAAAATTCATCCTCTCCTTATAAAAGTCAGTTCTCCTTCTGTCATCACCTTGCTTAGAACTCCCCATTTTCTTCCAGGATAAAGATTAAACTCCCAAACTTGGCTTCAAGGTCCTCCAGCTTCAATCTCATTTCTCTTCTCTCTCCTCTTTTAATATACCCATTTAAAGGGGTTCTCTCTGTGCTCTCACCTCTACCCCAAAACAAGCCTCCATTCTGCTCTTATCCTTTCTTTCTGGGGGACAGTTTCTTCAGTTGACTATAGAATGTACACTTGATGAAAGCAAAGATAATGCTTGTCTTGTCCATCTTCCTGGAACCAGTAACATAGTGGTACCTGGCAGAGTTTATGCTCAATAAATAGATGACTGAATATTTCCAAGCAAATGGAAGCCAAATATAGCATGTACTTTGGAAACCCTGGCTACTGACAGGTTAGCTATCTGGGAAAGAGGGTAGGAAGAAGGTTTGTACTTCATATCAGTCATGAGTGGCTTCTTTCCACTTTAAACAGAGAAAATTAAACTTCTTCATCCCGGTGTACAATATACATATTTTACTTCAGCAAAAATGACACCCAAATGATGGCTAAAGGTACTGATCTAACTGATTTCTCACAATTCCCCAAACTGTGCCTGATATATAGGTTCCCAGGCCTTAACCCAGCATTCTAATTCAATAGAATGGAAGAACACCCAGGAATTTGTATTTCAGAATAAGCACCCCAGGTGATTCTTATGCTTAGGCACCTTTGAGAAATACTTGTTCTATAGTAGTCTCTGTCTGGGCTGCACAGTAGAATTACCTGGGCAGTTATGAAAAACACTGATGCCTGGGTCTGCACCCTCAAAGATCCTGTTGTAACTGACCTATGGTGCAGCCTGGGCATCTGGATCTTGAAAAGCTCCCTCAAGAATTCTAATAGGCAGCCAGAGTGAGGACCACCGCTTTAAGGGGTGTTTCAAAGGGTTGACTATGGACCACCAATATCTAGAATCATCTGAGGTACCTGCTAAAAATGCAGGCTTCTGGCCTCTGAGAACTAGAATTTTAAATATGTCTATAGTTGACTTTTTCCTGAAAGTAGAGTGGCACAAGTTCAAGAACTGCTACTAAAGAGCTCACCTAATCCACTCTCATCTTGTTTTGACTAGGGAATCCTCAAGAAGGGAAAAGGTATGCTGAGTCAAATCGTAAGTCTGGGCAAAAACCTACCAAGAACCTGACCTGGGTATCTGGCCTCTCAGTCCAATGTGCTTCCCACTTCACAATTTCCTGTGCCATGCTTTTAAATCTCTCCTTTCAAAAGGAAGACAGTAAATAAATAATATAGTGAAAGCTGTTGGTCTCTCATTTGTCATAGGGGCTTGCCTGAGGGATGTTTTTTGAATAGCACCCAGTGACCATAACTCCTCAACAAGAGGGGCCCTGAGCCATACCTGTGATTAAGGAGCTGACTTGCAACACCAGGTTATTGGATTTCTCCAGAAGGCACTGGCTGTCAGGGTCTAGGCTGCTAGCTCCGGGCCCAGGATGGTCCCTATGAGTCTCCTGGGACTGCGTGACAGCAGGAGGCTGAGGACTGAGGGGAAGTAAAGGCTTGGTGAGCTTCTGACTGAAGTACCGTTGGATCTGATCTAGCTCACTCAGATTCCTCCTGTAAAAAAAAAAAAAAGAAAGGGAGAACAGGACAAAAGGGTCATTCACTGGGATTACAAGCATCTTTTATGTTCCTCTTAGACTATGATCTGGCTACTGGGGGCAACTTTCCACTCCTTATGTCTAGCTAATGAGATTCCTCTTCTATGTCCAGGAAAAATCTCCCCTCCTGTAGGGAACCATTCTTGACTACCATTCCTATCTAGTCTTCACATCCTCTTACTCTGACAGACTAAGGCCTTACTCTGGACTAACACTGACCTTTGCTACCTCACAGTCATTCTTCACTTGATCTAAGCCAAAAGGCCGAGAAGCGATTACCTCACAATCATTCTTGATCTTTCAAGTAAGTGATTTCTTGAAGCAAGCCTTCTCTGAGCCTCTAAATTGGTTTAAGAGGTCTTCCTTTATGCCTCACAGTTCTGTACTCGTCAATCACATCATTTGTTTCACATCTCTTTCCTCTGATGTACTGTGAGCTCTGTGCTGATTCCTTTATATCTATTGTACCCAGCATAGTGCTTGTCACAAAATAAATGCTGAATGGATAATGAATAAATGACTTAAAAAAAAAAAATCTGTTCAAAAACTTTGAATGGGGCCACATTCATTCTTACCATTCTCCAGAACTCAGGACTCCAAATCTTGTGCTTTCTCCATAATAGATGGGCCCTGTCCCAACTAGGTTCATTTCTGCCTCATACCTCTGAATGCTGGAGCCTGAGTTCAAGCTACTCCCCTTGCTCTGTCCCTATACTATTTTAACTTTTTTTTTTTTTTTGAGAGAGCACAAGCAGGGGAGAGGGGCAGAGGGAGAGAAGGAGAATTTTTTTTTTTTAATGTTTACTTATTTTTGAGAGAGAGAGAGAGAGAGAGAGAGAGAGAGATGAGAGAGAGACAGAGCATGAACGGGGGAGGGGCAGAGAGAGAGGGAGACATAGAATCCGAAGAAGGCTCTCTAGGCTCCGAGCTGTCAGCACAGAGCCCGACGCGGGGCTCGAACTCAGAGACTGCGAGATCATGGCCTGAGCCGAAGTCTGACACTTAACCGACTCAGCCACCCAGGTGCCTCGAGAGAAGGACAATCTTAAGCAGGCTCCACACTCAGCATGGAGCCTGACGTGGCGCTCTATCTCATGACCCTGGGATCATGACCTGAGCTGAAATTAAGAGTCAGATGCTCAACCAACTAAGCCACCGAGGTGCCCCCCCCACCTGAGTTTTCTCATCATGTATTAGTTTCCCAAACTAGGCCATGAGCATTTGGTAACAGAAGATAATATCTCAACCTTCTTTATTTCTCTGGTACACTCAATGTGCCTGGTATAATTGGCACTACATAGACACTAAATACCTGTGAAGTAAATTGAAAGTCGTTTTATGCTTTTGTTAGGAACAGTCTGCTGTGTTCTACCATCAAATCCAAATTAAATGAGAGAATACAAAGCTGATCCTTAATCTGTCATTAGAAGCCACGACTCTCTCAAATCACAGTGGATTTACGGACTTCAAGCTGTATTACAAAGCTGTAATCATCAAGACAGTATGGTCCTGGCACAAGAAAAGACACTCAGATCAATGGAACAAAATAGAGAACCCAGAAATGGACCCACAAATATATGGCCAACTAATCTTTGACAAAGCAGGAAAGAATATTCAATAGAATAAAGACAGTCTTTTCAGCAAGTGGTGCTAAGAAAACTGGACAGCGACATGCAGAAAAATGAACCTGGATCACTTTCTCACACCATACACAAAAATAAACTCAAAATCGATGAAAGACCTAAATGTAAGACAGGAAGCCATCAAAATCCTTGAGGAGAAAGCAGGCAAAACCTCTCTGACCTCGGCTGCAGCAACTTCCTACTCAACATGTCTCCAGAGGCAAGGGAAACAAAAGCAAAAATGAACTATTGAGACCTCATCAAAATAAAAAGCTTCTGCATAGCGAAGGAAACAATCAGCAAAACTAAAAGGCAACCAACAGAATGGGAGAAGATATTTGCAAATGACATATCAGATAAAGGGTTAGTATCCAAAATCTATAGGAAACTTATCAAACTTAACATCCCAAACCCAAATAATCCAGTGAAGAAATGGGCAAAAGACATGAATAGACACTTCTCCAAAGAAGACATCCAGATGGCCAACCAACACATGAAAAAATGCTCAACATCACTCATCACCAGGGAAATACAAATCAAAACCACACTGGGATACCACCTCACAACCGTCAGAATGGCTAACATTAACAACTCAGGCAACAACAGATGTTGGCGAGGATGCAGAGACAGAGGATCTCTTTTGCACTGCTGGTGGGAATGCAAACTGGTGCAGCCACTCTGGAAAACAGTATGGAGGTTCCTCAAAAAATTAGAAATAGAACTACCCTACAACCCAGTAATTGCACTACTAGGTATTTATCCAAGGGATACAGGTATGCTGTTTCAAAGGGGCATATGCACTCCAATGTTTACGGCAGCACTATCAACAACAGCCAAATTATGGAAAGAACCCAAATGTCCATCAACAGGTGAATGGATAAAGAAGATGTGTGTATATATATAAATACACACACACACACACACACACACACACACACAATGGAGTATTACTCAGCAATCAGAAAGAATGAAATCTTGCCATTTGCAACTACATAGATGGAACTAGAGGGTATTATATAAGCTAAGCGAAATTAGAGAAAGACAAATGTCACATGACTTCACTCATGTGAGGACTTTAAGATACAAAACAGATGAACACAAGGGAAGGGAAGCAAAAATAAAAAAACAGGGAGGGGGAGAAACATAAGAGACTCTTAAATATGGAGAACAGAGGGTATTGGAGGGGGGATGGGCTAAATGGTTAGGGGGCATTAGGGAATCTACTCCCGAAATCATTGTTGCACTATATGCTAACTAACTTGGATGTAAATTAAAAAAATAAATAAAATTAAAAAATCACAGTGGTTTACTTAGGTGTCTACATTTGGGTGTCTGCCACCTGCCACTTGTAGCAGGAAAATGCAAACAAATGTTAACTGGGTGAAGCTTTAAAGAAAATGTGCAAACCCAATTGATCTTGTCAGAGGTTCTGGGTATAGAACCTACTAATACTAAGCTGTAATTTTCTTATCTGTGAAAAAGGTTTATTAATATTTGCTCTGCAGACCTCATAGGATTGCTGTGACTCAAAAGAAGCACTGTTTTAGGGCTCTGTGAATCTAAGGAAGTAATAATGCAAAGTCGCTATTTTGTTTCATCTCCATTTTTAGAGAATTCATCTACTAGCAGTTTTCAAAACCTGGTTCTAGATCTAGCAGCATTAGCATCATCTGAGAACTTCTTAGAAATGCCAATTCTCAGGCCCTATCCTAGACCTATTGAATTAGGAACTGTATGGGTGGGTAGAACAACTGCTGTTTTAACAAGTTGTTCACGTGATTCTGACACACACTAACTTTTGAGAACCACTGTTCTAGGGCAGTGGTTTATAGCCTGGTAATTTGGCCCCAAGAACACATTTGGCAATGTGTGAAGACATTTTTGGTTGTCACAATCGGGGCAGGAGAGCTACTAGTATCTAGTAGATAGAGGCCAAGGATGCTGCTAAATTCTTACAGTGTGTAAGACAGCAAAATATCTGGCCCAAATGTCAATAGCGCTGACACTGAGAGAACTGCACGAGAGTTTCTTTTTCTCTTTCTTGGTAGATTCTAAAATATGTTTATGTGAGTGACCCAACAAAATGCAGACACACTGTTAATGGTTTTACTTAAATAGCCTCCAGTCTCTAGCTGAGAATCTAAAATGAGAATCTGAACATACCACTTCCTTATAATACAAAAATTTGAACAATTTCCCATAGTCTATAGTATAACTGTTCAATTCTTTTTAACCTGTGTTCCACCAATCAAAAATATTTTGCCAATTCTTTTCTGAGTTTGCTTTAAGAAACCAAATAATTAAAAAAAATTTTTTTTTAGCTTTTTCCAAATATAAAATCTTTCAAGTATTTCTTCCTCAAATTTTATACACTCTCTTCCTCCATTCCCCATCACTTTCCACTTGAGGATCATTTGTTCTAAAAGTCCAAACTCAAGCTGACATTCAAGGCCCTTCAAGATGGTGCTACAGAACTTTCCTTGCTCTTTACATCTTAGGCTCAGCTGTATCCTAACTGTACTGCTGGTATTTCTCCAAACGTGACTTGCTGTTTCAAGCCTCTGGGTCTCAGTGTATTTTCTGCATAGAATGTCCTTCACATTTGTTGACCTTCTCCTTCAAAGACTAGTTCAAGTGTGACTTCTTTAAATATTCCCAAAACCAATTTAGAATGTTACTCATTCCTCCATCTACCCTTGGCCAGAAAACCTGCAGCTCTTATCACACATCATTATAATTATCTGGCAACAGACTATCTCCTTCCTTTTCTGGGAATGGCAGAGGCAGGACTGGAAGTCAAGGCTGTTGGACTCTGAAGCCAAGACCTTTTCACAGGACCACACTTCTTACTAGATAACCCAGGTGCTGATTCAGATGATCTATAATGGCCCTTTCAATTCTCACAGTGCTTCTGTGGCTCAGATGCTGACTGAATTAACAAAGAGGGAAGCATTAACAGGACAGATGGTGATCTGGATGAATTCAGTGGTTGTGAGGAGGACAGTGGGCAGGATGAGGGTCTATAAATTGTAAAGTAGATATGAAGCTGTATAATTATTAGCTTTGGTGAATAATCTAAAGTTCCTGTATTAGTGGAAATAATATAATAGTATAGAGCCAGTGAAGGAATGGAAGGCCCCAAGTAGAGACAGATTTATCTATGAAGAATCTTGAGAGGATCCAGGGTCCAATGCAACACTAACACAGACAAAGTCCCCTCCTACACCTCCCAGGGCAGTGGTAGCTGACAGAACAGCAGTATTGCAGGTTGCCATAGCCCATTTACCTTGTGCTTTACTACGGTTTCTTGTGTCTTTTCTAAGCAAAGGGTCTTACCTGAGAGAAGTCAGAATGGAAGTGTGGGAGGAGGACAAAGGCATCGTGGTCAGTTTGTCATCATGTGGCAAAACTGCCTCTCCCTGCTGCAGGGATTCATGAAATCGGCGGATGTTCTGTACATGCTCTTCATGGCGTGATGCCTGACTTCTTGCAGTACTGCTTCTGTCAGGAATAAATGGGGCCAAAATAAATTCCCAACCGATGAGAAAACTAATGTGACAATCAACAAATAACCCTCCTACAATGGTATTGCAAATCCATCCCCATTACCACAGTCCTGGCTTCAGTAATTCTTGCTTAGATGACAACTATCTTCCAAATAATCTTGCCTTCAGTCTTAACCACTCTCCTTTATTATTTTTTCCCTCTCTTTTCAAATGTGAATTCCAGTGTAGTTAACATATAGTGTTATATTAGTTTCAGGTGTAAAATATAGTGATTCAACAATTCCATATTCAGTCCTCATCAAGTTACATGTATTCTTTTTTTTTTTTTATTACAGAGAGAGAGAGAGAGAGAGAGAGAGAGAGAGAGAGAGCGAGCAGGGGAGGGACAGAGAAAGAGGGAGAGAGAGAAGCCCAAGCAGGCTCTGTACTGTCAGCGTGCAGCCTGATGTAAGGCTTGATCTCACAAACCGTGAGATCATGACCTGAGCTGAAATCAAGAGTCAGATGCTTAACAGACTGAGCCACCCAGGCACCCCAAGAGTGTACTCTTAATCCCTTCACGTATTTTACCCATCCCCCTTACCTCTCCTCTGGTAACCATTTGTTTGTTCTCTATGGTTAAGAGTCTGTTTCTTGGTTTGTCTCTCTTTTTTTTCCTCTTTGTTCATTTGTTTTGTTTCTTAAAGTCCACATAGGAGTGAAATCATACAGTATTTGTCTTTCTCTGATGGACTTATTTTGCTTAGCATCATACGCTCTAGATCCATCCATGTTATTGCAAATGGCAAGATTTTGTTCTTTTTAAAAATATTTTTTAATGTTTATTTATTTTGAGAGAGAGAGTGCAAACAGGGAAGGGGCAGAGAGAGAGGGACAGAGAGAATCCCAAGTATGCTCCGCAGTGTCAGCACAGAGCCCAATGGGGGGCTCAATCCCACCAACTGCAAGATCATGACCTGAACTGAAACCAAGAGTCGGATGCTTAACTGACTGAGCCGCCCAGACACCCCAAGATTTCATTCTTTTTAATAGCTGGATAATATTCCATTACACACGCGCATGCGCGTGCACGCGCGCGCACACACACACACACACACACACACATCACATCTTCTTTATCCATTCATCTATCAGTGGACACCTGGGCTGTTTCCATAGTTTGCCTATTGTAAATAATGCTGCAATAAACACAAGGGTGCATTTGCCCTTTGAATTAGTGTTTTTGTATTTTCTGGGTAAATATCCAGTAGTGTCATTCCTCTATGTAGGATAGTTCTATTTTTAACTTGTGAGGAGACTTCATACTATTTTCCAGTGGCTGAACCAGTTTGCATTCCCACTGACAGTGCACAAGTGTTCCTTTTTCTCCACATCCTTGCCAATACTTATTTCTTGTGCTGTTGAGTTTAGCCATTTGGACAGGTGTGAGAT